TAGGTAGCAGATTTGTATGGGAGGATAGAACTGATTTGTACATTAACTGGCCCTCCGCATTGTATAGGCCAAATCGCATTCAAATCGGCTTTACGTTTCTGAAGGAGAGTAGAATGCGTGGCGCATCTCAAAACGGGATTGGTCAACACCAAATGTTTTATCCTTCATCGATCCAACATTGCAGATAAGTGGGAGGAGCTTGAATGGTGGGAGGGCAGAGTTTAGCACCTTTCAAGCCAACCCTATGTAGATATGATCCAGATATAGTTTAGCGATGTGCATTTAAATTAATTTTTCCAGCAATCGAAAACCGCTTCATCTCGTGCATCCACTCAGTCGCTGCCGGAAGCCGACGTCGCAAGGTCTGCTTTAGTTCAGACCACTTAAATATTTACCTTCTTAGTAGCATAGTTATCGATTAGACCATGGGGACGTTATCATACATTTAGATCACGTCGCTTAACAATCGCCGTCCCCAACATTTCTACGCCGGCAATCGATCAGATGCTTTTGAGTCCAGCACTTGAACGAAACAAAACGGCATCACCACTTCTCAGTCATCTTCGGATGGACCACACTCTTAGGAAATATGATGAGGTAAATTTATTAACCCTGATTCGGAAAAGACGAATTCCGCTTCTGGCTAGGATCGGCGGTGTTCTTACTAGTTAAATATTTAATTACAACTATAATCAAACCTGCGACTTCCAATCCGCTCAAAGTTCTGTTACTTTACCCACTGAGCTATGTATGCTGCAAAAAGACGCAAAATATTGTAAATATACAACGCTTCGCTACAGGCGAAAACGAAATTTTAGTGGAACCCCGCAGTTCGCCTTCTGATCGATCGGCAATGGAAACGGGTTATAAAAGACTCTCATGCATAGTTGACCTGCTAGTCATATAGCAGGGTAAAGGTCCGAGGCCATTGTGGCAAACCATAACCAAGAAGCCTAGCAAGTCTCGGATTCGAAGTTGTGCTGATTAGAACGAATGCAAAAGCTAAGCCCGATGCGGGGCTCGAACCCGCGACAGCCAGATTAAGAGTCTGGTGCTCTACCGACTGAGCTAACCGGGCTGCTGTGGTTCAACGTCTGGGCCATTCCTATCAATTGAGTTTGTGTCTGCACTGAACGTAATAATTGATTTCGCATATTCGAAGACCGAAAAGCTTGCGATAGGATTTTGAGGAGCATTTATGAATTAATCAGACTGCGAAAAAAGTTGGAACAGCGGGACAGAAAAATAGAGCATGATGTCCTTCGCCGTGCCTGCCGTTACTTCTTCCTTTTAATCGGTTCTACGATTGGCAAAAAATCACCAGATCAGCAGTGTGGGTAGTAATGGTCGTATGGACCATGATGAACCCGTGGTAATTCTGAATGTAGGTGAACCGGCATGGCATAACTCAGAATGAATGAAAACAGTTTTTTTAAGTTGATTGTTTTGATCTCGAAGTTTTTTTTCTGTTTCGTGGACTTTCGGTGAATTATTAACTTTGGCGGAACTTTATTTGTTTTTTTCCTTGTGTTGGTTTATGATTTTTGAATAAGTGTAATTATTAAGACTCGCTACCAACATTCATCGATTGGTCGCCGACATCGTCTTAATTCCTCGTCGTTTTCTATTTCACAGGACATGAGGGATATGGACAAGTACTGGCTCTTAACCCATTTTTTTTTGTTTTCTTTTCTTTTTTTCGATTCTTTGAACGCGTCAAGATCCGATTTTCGGTCGTAGCTGGCAATTCGCGTCTCTCAACGGGGGGTTTTTTGACGGGGGATGTAGGATTTCGGGGTATTTTTCCAGCAGACATTTGAGTTTTTCTGACATTACCTCTGATTGTGGCAATGATCAACTTATCGTTCCGAGCGGACCCCTTTATATTCTATCCATCTAATTCCTTTTTGAATTTTTATTCTTTGATCGGGATCGAACTGGATTTGCCAGAAGGATCAGGTCCTGGATAATAGCCAGGGCCGATTTTATGAACTCAGAGAGTCAATAATTGGGCAGTTTACGGCTAAGCCTGTTTTCAGTACAAATCTGGTAGGTGTGGGAACATGGGTTATGCGAAGGGTTTGTCCAATGAAGTCATCGTCGTGGCATTCCTCTTGTTCTTTCGGAAGGAATCACTCCTGATACGTGTAGAGCTTCATTGTTTTATCGGAAACACTTTTTCTCTTTTCCTCTCCCACTCACTTGTTCCTCCCATTCATTCCCTGTCCTTACTCATTCCTTCTACATAATTTCATTCTTCGAAACTCCCATCGATCTTCCATCTTTGGTGGAAGAGACATATGCAGAAGGTAGATTATTGACCGTGAAGCGCTCAAATGAAAGTGAAATTGCCGGAATGGAGGGTTTTTTCTGGGATAGTGGACTTTTTTGAGACCCGAAACTTCGCACTACTCGATAGCATGCCCTCCCTTTCAAAAAGCGAGAAGAGGTCGGGTGCAGACCAACACCACAAGTGACGACGGCCTCCAAGTAAATCTGGTTAGTAGTGGTTCATAGTGATAGCTGATTTTTGGTAAATGATAGTTGTAATTAGTGACAACTGATAGAATACAACTGCAACAGGCTAATCATTTCATTGGCAGAAAACATTTACATTTTGTGGAGGCCGTCGTCACTTGTGGTGTATGGTCTGCACCCGACGCTCTTCTCGTTTTTTGAAAGGGAGGGTAGATCATATAGCTCATACTTTTTTCGGTGGGTATGGGAAGGGATGTAGTGACAAGTGGTTACCACGCAAATGGCCCGGGGATGAAATCCTCGTCATGAATTGTCCCGCCCATTTGCGCCTTCCATCGCTACGGAGCCGATTAATTAGTGCCAAATCTGTCAGCAAGGAGCCCTGACTTATGCATCGGCCTGCCTAGTCATTCTGTAAGCCAAGCCCTATCGAAATGTCACTTCTGCTACGATTTTGAGCCTAACTAGAATACGTGGCGCATCCCAGTAAAGTGATTGGTTGACGCTGAATGCTTTATCTTTGCTGTTATTCTACTTCGAAAACCACGGGAAAGACAAATGGTTCCACGGTTCAAATGAGTCCAGAGGGTTGAAAATTTAAACAGCTCTAGTAGCCATTACTTAGACTTGTTTGGCTTTGCTTCGTTTTCTTTATTAGTTTTACATAGAGAAGTAGTTGTCTAACTAATTATGATGCTAAATGTAAACATCCACGTTGTTTAGGAAAAACAAAGTGAGCGATGACGTTGCCTCAGATGACGAAGCTCCAAGTGTTGTTGTCCACGAGCCATGGGAAGACAGCTCCTAGCGCCGTGGAGAGAAAAGATTTCCGCTTGTGGAGATTAGCCTGTGAGCTGAAGCTGACTCCTGTGACACTGAGCCAACCAGCCGGGCTGAGTTCTCCACAGAGATCCTTTTCTTCATGGAATACTGTGACTGCCGATCGATACCCATGCTCTTCTCAACATCACCGCTGCTACTGCTGCTGCTCAATCAAACGTGTGTGATATACGTGGATTCGTAATAAAAATTTATTTGCACTTTTGAATTTAAAGAAGGAATAATGATGTGTTATCAATGGAAAAAATGGTATCGGTGATAAGGCGTGGAATATGTTGCTAGGCGAAACCTGAAATATAAGAGTAGCTTACGTAGACTAAATACTACTGTACCTGAATTATTGGGGAAGATTAAAGTACACACAGATGTTCATCAATGGTATTTATACGTGTTGCCTTATCCCGGACTCTCGGCATCAACTCCCGACTTGAATGTGGTAGTTTTTAAGTCTGAGCTAAACTGATACTCCAGTATGCCTATCAAGTAGTTACTATTTAGAGCAGAGCGATCTATCAGTTACGATAAGTACTTCAAATCCGTCTTTCCTGAACTATCCCTCATCGTCTCACGTCTAGACTCCCCAGTTGTTGATCGGTCATGTCACGAGCGTTCTGTGCAATAGGCTTCAGTCGCCGAGAATGTAACCCATTTCCTCTTGAACTGCGTCGACGTGATGGTGTTTTCGTGCTACCGGTAGATCTCGTTGTAGTATCATGTGTAATCCATGAAGCCTCTATTCTGGGAGCTTTCCTTGACGGTGAATAGCGGAAAGCCTGTCGTCAGTGTTCTAGTCATAGTCTGCGTTTTGTTCACGCATCTGCTACGTCAACCAGTCGACAAATGTTTGTTCAGTTCTACCATGGTGCTAAGTTTCAAGGCCGGCTGAGTCAAGCGTGGGCGTTTTATTTTGAGATCATGGCTAGAGTGTATTCGGAGGATGGGGGAGAAGAAAGACCTTCGAGAAAATAGAAAATTGTCCCAGAATTTGAAATTCTGAAAAGTTCAATTTTTGCCGCTTTGACACTTATCTGTACTCTGCCCAACCCGGACTTCTGGAGTAGTGGGCGGGGCTGGATCTGTGTCATCTGAACCAGGTACAATGGTTTTATTGATACGAAATTAAAGATTCTAGCTGGGGAGCAATCCATGAATATTTAGAAATCGGCCAGACGCACTGTTGAACTAGATCCCGACCTCTGGACTGCTTCTAATGCTACAATCTTGACCCCAAAGATCGACGCGTAATAAACTAAAGGGAGGTGCTCGGAAATGGAACTCGTCCGAGAGGGTGGAGCTGCTCACCTCCCCTTCTACCGCTGTGCTTCAACATAATGTTACCCCTATCTCTATGAGCTTGCAATTCTTCCCCTTTCCGAAATTTTGAAAAGCTATAAATCAGTGAACGGGAGCTCTTCCCTAAGCCCCAGCTATGGATTCGGCTCTCAAGTTTGGACCGGTAGAAAAAATTCTCACGAACCTCCTTGTCGAATAGCCGGAACGCATCCCTCAGCTCCTTTTGTAGAGTGTCCTTGTCGACGGTGTTGGCGACAGTGTAGACCAACGCGCAAAACTCATCAAATTCCAGCTTCCCGGAACCGTCAGCATCGAATTTGCGGATCAGCTTACGGAGAGTCTGAAAGAAAAACACACTTGTAGCAGCTGCCAGTCCAGCGTCATTCAAGCCTAGCAGTCACATGACCGGTCAGTTTGGGAGATGTGGGCGTTAATACCAAGGGCACTGGAGTTTTTACTCATTTACCGTAGTAGACTAGCGATGTCAGTTGAACTGCTCAAATGCTCAACAGCATCTCGAAAACAACCACGCTATTGCCTAACAACCCAGGAGACATTCAGAATAAGTTCTATTTACCCCTTCACAGGACAACCTTTCTGTTTTTTGAGCATTTCACTCTGGGAGACAATTTTCGTAACAGTAGTGTTTGAAATAGTTGTGGTACAAATAGGGTAGCCTGTGGATACAAATAATCTGCAGACGATTGGCCTAAGCGCAATTTCATTACGACATGAAGCTTTTTTGTGCATTCTGGAATATCCCATTTCATTTACCCGAGGGTCACCCTACTACTAGCTCAAGTCACTTCTTTAGTTAGCCCCGTGGTAATTACTAACCATCAGTCAAATTTTTGGGTCCAAAAATTTTTCGCAGTTCACATGTCCATCTGCACCGAGAACAGATAGTAGTGCACCTATTCGAAGA